CTTGAAGTTATTTTCAGGCGAGAATTTGAAATCAATTTATTTAAAACTAATTGCAAAGTTTATGCATGCAATTTACTTATGTCGAGCTTTGATGCACGTGCGGGTTCAGGAGAGCTAGTGCTGAGGCATTTTTCAATAGTTTTCGGGGGTTTTGGGACACCCTGTATACATGTTAGTATAACATATTGGTTTTCCGAGCAAGGCGAGGGGTTACTGCATGCTTGCATGTATTTCTACTTTATAGTATCAGTCAGTCTAAACAAATTGTGGTGAAAGTCTTAATTTTCGAATTTTCGAGAATATTCCAAAGTAAACGTGTGACTTGGGATGTGTTTATCATCTCAGCTGCGTTATAATTGACATTCGTTTAAGGTTATAAAAGCCTTGTTTCACGAACTACGAGTTAGGAATTTTCCTGACAAAACGACAGTTTGGAGACCTAGTGTTGCTTTATGCCGTTTCCTATATATAGTGTAATAAATAAATGAATGCCTTTCAGATATTAAAGAACTACTAACGTATTTTCCGACACAGCGAAAAATAATCAGTTGCCGTCAGCTCTTAACAGCATGGTTTGTCATGGTGCAGTAAGAATTCACGCCTTGGTCGTATAGATATTCTGCAATTTTTCGTGGCTTCACATTATGAGCTAGCATTAAAAAATAGTTTTGTTAAATGCGCAATAATGTGGACATGGATGTGTGATCAGGTCTATATCATAGAAAGAAGCCGACCAATTCCACATTTTGTACATAACACATGATCCTGTTTCAGAATTCAAACTGAATGCACCTGAAACTATAGATCTGATTTAGGGGCTGTTAAGCGCTGTTTCATCCCGCTTTACCTGGAAAAGAATGAGAAGTCACGGTGCAGGGGATTCAGCAAAGCTACATGAGTATTTTCCCCGTGATAGATTATAGTATACAATTTTAAACGAAAGGCTGTTCAAGTAACAGTAATAATTCTTTTGAACTATATATGAAATTTCATTTGAACTTTCGTTTAAAAGCCTAGCGCTGGTGATTTATTTAAAAACATCAAAATTATCCCGCTTTCCATCTCGTCGCGGCAGCTTTTAAGTAATCAACGTTTATATTGTAAATAATGATATAATAGTTGTCCCTGTATTAGCATATGTAATTACGCAAATTAGTCTGTGCCAACAATTGAGAAATATTTTTTCTTTTCTTAAAAGGTAAGTTTTTCTATATACCGCTGTAGACGCATGGTCGCAAATATAGACAGTTATCAGAATCAGAAAATAATGTTAGTTCGTGATTTTATCAAATGCTATAACAGTCTTGTATTAGGAATACATGAGTTTGAATATTCTTTTAGGTAATGCACCTTAGGGTCTCGGATTATACATGATCGCCCGTTTTGTCTGGAAGCTACCTCTGTATGAAATATTAATATGTTCATGTAGAATGTTAATTTTGGCATAGTACAAAACATGGACTGGACCCATGAACTGGACCCAAAATTAGACTAAAAAATGGACCCAAAATTGGATTCAAAATTTTAGCCAAAATTTTGCCCAAAAATCCATTATTTTGTCAACAACCCTCAGAATATGATTTAATTTGTGTAGGCAAAAAACTTCTCGTTCCATCACTTTTCCTTGACCTATCTAGCTATTTGTCTTCCAAAATTCTATATTCTATTTTCTAAACGTTATCTAGGGTATCTCGTAAATAATAAACCTTTGTGAAATATCTTTGCGCAATGGTCCCAAATACATCACATCGATATAAATCATCAATTAATTATATACATTTTGTGTCTGTATAATACGCCCTCTATATATATTCCGGCATATATATCCTCTAACGAGTAACGAGTTCGCAAAGTTTGTGTTGTCCATATATTCTAATATTTATCGCAACTAGCTATATGTGGGCTTATCATTATGCACATATTGTATTTCCGTTTGTCAAATATAGACGTGTCACTTTATGTCGTGTGTCGTAGGTTAATCGTGGGTCGTTCTTTTTTCTTCACTAAAACTCATTCGCGTTTCAAAAACTATTACAGATTTACAGTATATATAGCTATTTGCGAATACCGATCATTTGCAGAATACGAAATCCTTTTAAACCACGTTTTCCCTTCAAACCATAAAAATACTTTTTGCTTTCTGCCGCTAGCGATAAAAATGCAAGCACATAGAAAGAACTAAGAAGGAAATTAAAATTGAATTGAAAAACACATTAGGCATACCGCTGTAACATCACACCTCATGGCATGAAATAGAGCACCACACACGTTTCTTTATTGCGGCTTTGTAAGCCTGAAAGCAACATCAAACTTTGCCCATTCATTCGTTACCTGAGGTAACCTCTTAAAACTCTCGGACAATAAAGACTAAGAAACATGTCTAACGGTAAAAGATCGTACGCCGACGTCGTGAAAGGAGAGCGGAAAATTGGCTGTTTGTTTAAAAATTGCTATATTTTCTCTGCTTTTAAGTTTTTGTTGGAAAACTCTTTTCGCTCTTGTGGAAAATTCCTTTCGTCAATGTTTTATATCAAAACCTAGACGATAACGCGTTTATAGCGCTTGATTTAAAAAAATATAGTCGCACGCTCGCGATCATACGGGAAATCAATACAAAAATATTGTCCGACCGATTTTGCAGGTTATGAAATAATACATGGACCAAAATGATTCTCAACAAGAACGAAAAAAGTTTTCCAACAAAAACGTAAAGCAGAGAAAATATAGCAATAATTTTAGTTCCCGTTCAAATTAGATTATGGAGATATTAGTCAAATTAGACAATGGAGATACGGCAAAGAAAGAAATAAATGGATATACGACCGGCGTCATATTTAGGCGCGAATGCAGAAAATACAGAGAAATATTATTTAATTTTAAAGTGCCGGCAAGATCTGCTGTTCATCCACATCCGACCATCCGACAAGACGTCTTTTATCTTCTGATTTGTTTCGAATTCCATTCTGAAGAAATTTGATCCGCTGAAACATGAAACGGTATTTTTGTCCGTATGTTGTGCTCGTCGTTCGAAGGGCCGACGGCAGCGATGTGGATACTCTCAATATATCGTTTTCCGAAATGGACTTGGTATGTAGATTTTTGTGGTAATGGAGATTCTACATGCAGATATTGTGTTATTATCACTCAAAAGTCAAAGAACAAGCGAACAATGAGACGCTATATTACTTCTATTTACGTTATAAATGTATTATTTTTTAATATGCAAATATAATTTCACCATATTTATCTTTCAAATTCTGCTTTTAATATTTCATGCAGACTGATATTTGAATCTTATCTAAAGTATTTGGAATGGCTTATCATAGGCTTTAATATAGTAGCAAAACATGTAGAAAGCTGAAAGCAGATATAATATCGTTGATGTTGTTTTTGCGTTGTATAAACACTTCGTCATAGAAAAGCGGCGGCTAGTTATAAGTACTTTTTAGTCTGCCAAGACCACTGGATGCTATTTCTAAATATTATTTAGATCTATTATAGATCAGTGCTGGTATGTATATTGACTATTGTATATTAAGTCCTAATGGTACAGTCAAAATAAAAATTTCGATTTATAGCCATACGCCATCTTGAAAACATTACTCGGCAGGCGCTCTCGCCTGTAACCCGCATTTTCCGAACCTGTCCGAAATGCTTCCCAAGCGCCTGTGGAGGAGGTAGGCATTGGGGCTGGAATTGGGGTTATGAGAAGGATGAAGCCCTTCGTTCCTCTACAAAAGAATTAAAACTAACTCACAATGCCCTTGTGCAACCGTATTTTAATTACTGCAGTCCCCTTTGGGACAACTGTGGAATTTGTCTCAAGGATAAGCTTCAAAAATTCCAAAATCGCGCTGCGAGAGTGATAACTGGGTCCACCTACGATACTCGATCAGTTGATGTGCTTAATACGCTAGGTTGGGAAACTCTCGGGATCAAAAACGTAACTACACAAAATCGATCTTTATGTATAAGATAATGGTCATGCCGCCCCCAATCTAAAACAATCCTTCCGATTGCACCGTGAAGGTGATACCTTGCTTGACCTTAGAAATTGTGCTACCGACTTGGCACTTCCAAAACCTAAAAGAGAATTCGGTAAAAGGAGTTTTAAATACAATGGAGCTATCCATTGGAATAATTTACCTATTGAAGCAAAAAATGCAAATTCCATTAACACATTTAAAATGATTTTAAACTCGCAACGAGTTGAAGCTGACTCATCTTGATAAATGATTATTTTAAAATAGTTTAGTTTCAATGTATTTTTCTGTATTTGATAATTCTTCTGAGTAGTCCTTGTATTAATCTGTAATCCGTCTTAATAATTTGTGACTGTATTTTATTTTGTACTTGTAAGTAATATCTTTAATGTCTATCATAATTTGTAAGTAGCTTTATGTATTTTGCAATACACGCCGCTCATGAAAACCAGCTAACGCTGATGAGGCTAGCGTGACTAAATAATGTATGTATTTAATAGTAACTCACTCCATGTCCAGAAAACAACAATTACTCTGAGAGGATTGTTCCAGTAACGAACCCCAAGCATACAAATTCAATGTTACGAGTAACAAATGCATGCTCAACCGGTTCGTCAACCGCCAGCACCACAAACAATTTTCTCGTGTGATCTTTACCCCATACAAGAAAATAACTTAAACCCAAAAGTCCACAATAGGCCTTACTCCTGCCAAAACGCGTCAAACGGAACCAAACGCGTTAGGGAGTCAAAAACCTAAGGACGATCCTCCCATGACATATCTGTTCAAACATGCAGCCATTGGAAAGCAAAACTCAGTGTGGCATCATAGATGTTATATATGCGAATTAGAGCCACCGAAGGTGATTGTTGGTCCTGGAATCGGACTTGTTAAGGCCGGGCCTTATTAAAATTATTGTTTTTTTCTATTTATACCTGCTACTAAAAAAGTCAAGATCTGAAACAATTAAAAACAATTAAAAAAGATCTGAAACATACTGGAGGGAACTGCGCCAGAATGGGACTTGAATTATTGCTTTTGAAAACACTCCTTTTAACTCTACCGGTCCTTTCCTATGCTGATGGAAACTCGACTCGAGAACTACTAATACCGAAAGAGGAATGTGAGAAAATCTCAAGCGTGGAGGTCCGCTATAATGAGTTCTACGAGCTCTATCTTGGCCATAGTAATGGAGAAGATGACATTCATGAACATGGAATCATATACCAGAGCTTAATTAGAGCGGTAAATGCTTGCTGTCCTGGAATGGCCCTTAATTTTACCCTTGTGAATAGATCTGCTGAATCCTTAGTTCAAGAAGACATATTGCATCATCATGACGTACAAAACAGTTCTCATTTGATTTTCTATTTTCCGGAGTTCACACCACAAGGGAATTTAGGTACGAGAAAAATATGATCTGTTGAAAACAACACTATAGCGTTGATACATTTTAAGTGATTTCTGCTACTCTACCTCCCCAGGTGGATACGAAGGTTGCATTACTGATAAACTTCTCCTACCCATCCTGAAGAAATCTTTAAACATTCTGAAATTATACCACAATTTTTAAGATCCCTAAAATCTGAAACATTTTCCACAAAATCACGAAAAATCTCAACATATATCTACAAAATCCATCCAAAAAGGCGCTTTAAATTCTGCTGAAAATGTCGGAAAAAGTTCAAAATCCGTGGAATATTGCAAGGATTTTGAAATCCCAAAATTTGAAATCCCAACGCTTTGTACATGTCTGAACATAATGCATCGCTCGCTGAGTTAATAAGGACGCGAGAAGTTGGGAGAGCACAAAAATTCGTAAGTGGTGGTAGATATTCTTTGTTAAAGCAAGGACGAAATCGTTTTCATTCCCCTGATTTTTTTATTTTATTTATTTATTTTATTTATTAACTTTGCCGGCATAAAATTACAATAACAAAACAGAGTGGCCGGGACACGGCAACAGCATATTGCCAATTACTGCTGGCCCAATTATCGCCCCATGTGAGGTAATCCAGGAGGTATTTGGATTCCGGATCCCACTCCTTGGATTCCGGATTCCACATCTTGGATTCCGGATTCCGAAACTATAGTGGATCCGGATTCCAATTTCAGGGCGGTAGCTAGCATGTATAGTTGGGGAGTGTAGGCCATAAATTTCCGAATGACGAAAACATTTTCCGAATATATCATGGCATGCGAAGCCACGAAGGTGTGTGCTATCCGGCAAATGAAGACGGTATTTACAAACAAAAATACGCATATTTTACGCACAGACATATTAAAGTACATGCAGTGCCGTAGAAAGTTATTTTTGATTGGGGGGGCAGAGAACGAGTGCCAAAGGCCCGAGGAAATTTTTTAATTTAGAGTCTTTGAAATGCCATTTCCTGGACTTTGGGGAAGTTTTGACAGAATTCTGATGGTCAGAAAATAGTGTTTTAGTTTGTTGAAATTTACAATTTGCTTACAATTTAGTAGTAGTAAATGGGCGAATGTGTATATGTATACAATTAACTATACATATTGGAAAAATTGCAGGAAAGTGTGGGTAATATGATTCTTTGTAGTTTGTCATGGATAATGTAGCCGCTTAAAATTAATCAATTGTCATTATTTTAAAGGTTAAATAATAAAGGTCTGCATGATTTTGAAAAAATGAATGATTATTAGCAAATTATTGGGAGGGCTGCATCACATAGTCCCCCCCCCCCCGGTTGCTACGGCCTCTGGAAGTAATAAACCGAAAAATATTTACCGATTTGTTAAATGTTATCCATGTAAATGCCATGATTTCGTAAATCAGTTTATAATGATACTACAATTATATTATATTTTCTCTATTGAACAACTAAAATTTTGTTATACTATTATTGACCTAATTTTCCTAATGGCCAAACCGATTTTCCCGGTATGTTAATTCTAAAAAAGTTGGGGGTTGGTTCCCCCCACTACCCTCTCTACGGCCTGTCCAATTTATTAAGAAACAATATTTCCGCAACAAAAATCGCACTTGGGAAACATGAAATGTTTCTGAATTTGATAGGAAAATTTCTGCTTCTTGGGAAGCAAATTGTGTTTCTGCAACGATGTTTCCATGGGTGGGAAAGTACAGAAACACTTGAGGAAACATGGCGAATCACAATGTTTCCGCAACAATGTTTCCTAGTTTGCCCAAGGCTTACGATGCGACGACGCGAACGTGACATAAAAACCGTTGCTAATGTTTGGAATCCAGTTTTATTATATGCTGCTTCACTTGTGCCTCTGACTTTGTTTACCAACTGGAGGCCATAATTTTTATCCGTGTAGTGAAACTGTGGGAATAGTTACAGTTTTTGTCCACAACCGCGTCATAGATTTGGTGCATCTTAAGCTTGCTAGCTATTGTCTACAAACGGCACCAAGATACAAACGGTATATAAGAATGTGCAGTATACACCCGCTAGTAATCGGATGGCGAGCGGGCGCAAACAGTTTCTCAAATTTCATGTATTTGGACTATTTGGTTATGAAAGTTGAAAGAGCCTGAACATATTTCTTGGAGTTAAATAAAAGAGGAGATGGTTAACAATGTTTTTTATGTTTTTATGTTTTTTTTTCTAAATTAATAAAACATGAATGGATTCCAGAACGACCTGGGCTCTGGATTCCGGATTCCTCAGTTATTTGGATTCCGGATTCCACTGTCTGGATTCCGGATTCCAAGACTCTGGATTCCGGATTCCTAAACCAACAAAAAGTCGGATTCCGGATTACCTCACAAGGGGCGACAATTAGATACAATCAAACAAACAACAGACATTCAACTGGACAGACTAACAAACCTACGAACAAACAATATTAGTTACTAAAAGCAGCAGGATAGCGGATATGTAAGACTTCGTACAGAGTTACATTTCAGGCATATAGTTTTAAATGTTCGAGGATTATCAGGATTATAATTAACTTCCAAAGATTCTCCTCTCGAGACAGAGTAAAAAAAATAAAGTAGGCCGCAATGCGACTCAATGGGTTAACAACACACATGGGCAAATAGGCCAGTTAACCCATTAAGTACCAGTGCTCTCCCCTTAATGAGTGAAATTGTCTGGCGTTAGAAAGAGTAAAATAATAAATTAGGGCGCAATGCGACTCAATGGGTTAACTAGACACATGGGCAGATAGGCCAGTTAACACATTAAGCGCCAGCGCTCTGCCCTTAATGAGTAAAATTTCCTGCGATAGGCAGAGTAAAATAATAAATTAGGCCGCATTAGGGCACAATGCGACTCAATGGGTTAACTGTAAACATGGGCAGATAGGCTAGTTAACACATTAACCGCCAGTGCTCTCCCCTTGATGAGTAAAATTGCCTAGCGTTAGATAACCAGAGTAAAATAATAAATACTTAGTGCGCATCAGGGCGCAATGCGACTCATTGGGTTATTAACATCAACAATGTTTCAAATGTCAAATCTGCCATGCTCAATATAATCATAGATTTGACTATTAATTTGACATGTAAGTCAGATGTCCTGTATACAACAACATCAATATACAGTATACTATTAAATCAATCAGCCACAAAATTGTCAATCGTGTATTATTCTCGGCCTAAAAGCTAAACCTATTAATTAATCCTAGTTGGTGTTTAGCTTGGCTTTTGCTGCTACTGAAACGACTTTTATATAATTATGTGATTACAGCTCGGAATTACAGTGGGTTCTGCATAAGATTTTATCTGGATTCGATGTTTCACTATTTAGTATCGAGTAAAATCAACAAATAATTATGGATCAAACGAGGATGGGAGTATTTTAATTAGGTTGAAACATAGTTGGAACACTCATCAAAGCTTTAATAATATTTTGTTCATCTGGAACTTGAAATGTCCTTTGTGTATTTATAAGCAATTCATGCATGACTTTCATCCTCATTTGACCGAGGCTATAATCTAAAATACCAGTTTAAAAACTTACATTATCAAATGAACCAGTGTTGCCAGTATGCCTGATTCAGGAGATGATTCTTGATCGGGAAAGGTTAAACTAGACTGGGCTACTAGCAAGTGATATGTCGCAGGATTTGAGCTAGTAGTGAACTGGATATTTCAATGTTGTTTGCACTTTTTTCATTGTCGCTGTCACTTTCAACTAGAACCTACAAATACAAAAAATAAATAATCTTACATTAAAACGTGTTTCGTATCGTAAACGTGAAGCTATAAGAACATATTTTGAATAATTGATGTCCGCTGTCGTGATTTGGCCATCAGCAAACAACAGTCTTCGACACGAAGGTGAAGAAAGTAAATAACATTTGCCAGAATTAGGCTAGTACAGCACGAGACGTTTCTTGAACGTATTTTCCTAATAAATTGTTTATTTGTCCAGAATATACTGCAACAAACGAGGTTTTACGCTTGTATTTTATCCGTACCCCTCGTCGAAGCAAATCCCAACGGCCAACGGCTAACGTTCGATAATGGCGCCAAAAGTTAGTACGCATGCTCGAGAATGATCGCAAACCCGATTGCTTACGGGCGCGTGCATTTTCGTTCCCAGTTCCCGCGATCATTAATATTACACCTAGGCTTCAATTCTCGTGATTAATTTTTACAAATACCGTATTTATATTTACGATAAAATTACTAAAAATCTGGAAAACAAATTTCAATACCCTACAAAATGAAACATCAAATCTCACCTTGTATAATCCAAAAAACGTCCTCTTCTTTTTCTTTGCGACTGCGAGCATGTGCATTCTTTAAGATTTATGCGGAAGTTAATTTGATACGATATACGACGGACGATCGACACAATTAAGAGTCGATTTGACAGAAGGGTCGATTTGACAGAATTAAGACTGTCGATTTGACGGAAGGGTCGATACGACACAATATTAATAGTCGATTTGACACAATTAAGAGTCGATTTGACAGAAGAGTCGAATTGACACATTTACGAGTCGATTTGACAGAAGGGTTGATTTGACACATTTAAGAGTCGATTTGACAAAAGGGTCAATTTGACACAATTAAGAGTCGATTTGACAGAAGGGTCGATTTGACACATTTAAGAGTCGATTTGATAGAAGGGTCGATTTGACACAATTAAGAGTCGATTTGACAGAAGGGTCGTTTTGACAAAAGGGTCGATTTCATTCCAGGGTCGATTTGACCTATGCGAGAGTCGTTCCGCGATGGAGAGCCGAAACGAAGCTCATAGGGACCAAAGTGTTGAACAAAAGCGGCCCCTTTATGTGGGGCCAAAACAAACCCGGACGTGAGAGTCATTTTGGTCTGTGGGGCCATATTGGCAATTGATGGGGCTAAATTGGAAAATGATGGGTCCGTTACGGCAAAGGGTAGGGCCAATTTGGCTTTCCTCCATACCCAAAATGGCCCCGTCGGTGCAGATCCAGCTCTCCAATGCCAAAATGGCTTTCACATAGGGCCAAAACAGCTTTGGCCCCAAAAGGGCTGAAACGGAATTTGGGGTCGATTTGGCCCTTTTTAATTTACAGTGTGTTTAGCCGCCAGTGCTAATATAGCGACTATTTTGAGTTAGTAACCAGAGCCACTAGGATTCACATCGAGTTATGATTCGGGTTACCGCAGGATTCGTTACAGAATAGATCGTTTTACTGGGATTTCTCCCAAATATAGCCATGCATTTTCGATTCAGTTTTGGTGACTGGTGTTTTACAATGATATAATCATTTATGAAATCGATATATTAAATTTCCTTAAAATATCCTTAAACCATTGGCAAATACATTTATATTTTTTATATAATTTTAATTTTCAAACCCCTGTATGCATGCATGCATCGTGGACATTGTGAATTTAATAATATAACACTTGTCAAAAATCGGTCTCCCATACCCATGCAGGTTGTTCGCAGGTGCGAGGTATTCTCCCGCCTAATAAAGTTCCATAGAATTCCACTCCTCATACAATGTCAATTTTACAAATAACGCTAAGATTATCAGCTTAACATCATACAAAAATTATAATAATGAACTCTTTATATATAAAATGGTATCTTACTAGTAATCTACTGACATAATTACAGAAACCTGCACTAACGCCCGACGTATTCTAAAAGCTCACTCACACTCACACTCATACTCAATGCATGAGTGGAGGTTCAATCTGAGCTTCTCTTGAGTGTCAGCGCTGTTTTTCAATAGTTGCCGGGAATGTGAGTATAGTCACATAGTAACGGTACGACACTAACCCTCCAGCTATTCAAAAACAGCAATGACACTCGAGAGAAGCTCAGACTGAACTTCCACTCATTGAGTGTGAGTGAGCTTTTAGAATACGGGCGTAAGACTACTTTCAAAACCACGGCAACGGTACATAAAACGGTTACCAAAATTCGCCTATATTATGCAGTATATCATGCTCTTTCCAATGATGTACTGATTGCGGCACAAGCACACCAATGTCAAACGGTGGTATAAGGTGATATAATTACTTTTGTTTATAAAATTACATTGCGCAAACATCTAGGCTATATTCCGCAAGCGCTTGCCCCAAAATCTGTCTTCCACAATTGTTCCCGAACTCGACTATATATTGTATAGTATTTCATGCTTTTTCCATTGATGTACAGTAAATTAGGACACAAGCTAACAAACGTCCAAATAGCAAGGATTAATAAGTGCTAATTACTTTTCTGTATATTATATGCCAGACTACAGAATTATAATGTGCAAACATCTCACTATTCAGCAAGCGTTTGCGCAAAATTTGTCCTCCCAAACTTGGCTATATTATGCAGTATTTCATGCTCTTTCCAGTGATGTGCCGCAAATTGGGGCACAAGCTCACCAATGTCAAAATGGCAAGGATTAATAAGGTGGTCATTGCTTTTGTTTATAGAATTACATTGCGCAAACATCTATATTCCGCAAGATCTGTATTCCTATAATTGTTCTGAAACTCAACTATATTGTGCAGTATTTCATGCTCTTTCTAATGACGTACAGCAAATTGGGGTACAAGCTCACCAACGTCATTATATATGACATTAATGTAGCACAATCGTTTAAAACTGGCTGTGTTAAATGTCAATCGATCGTGTCGTCCTTTGTCGAGCATTGTAGATAAAATGTGTTGTAATTGATGTAAATGTTTAGTTTAAGCACCCTGCGAATGGGGCAATAAGCCCTGTAGGGATCACCAATCATTAATGACAAAGCTAGTAAATAAATAAAATAAAACGGCAAGGATTAATAAGGTGCTTATTGCTTAAAATTTTTTTAGAATTACACTCATTTCTTTTGTTATATTAAATGTTAGACAATAGAATTACACTGTGCCAACATCTATATTCAGCAAGCGTTTGTACAAAATCGGCCTCCCTAATTGTTTCGAAACTCAACTATATGGTGCAGGAGTTCATCCTCTTTCCAATGCATGATATACACCAAATTGGGCACAAGCTCCCAAACGTCGGAATGGCAAAGACTAATGAAAGAAACTTAATCCTAAAGATTATACAAAGAAACGCAAGGGCATGGACCCTGCAATAATGACATTGTGAGCTAAATTGCGACGCCGTTTATACCGCGAAGCTATAGCTTCATACATTTTATAGCAATAAACGAAGGAAATTTTGGATCACTAGAATTCGTATATTACCACGTAAGCATCTTTTCGAAAGGCTGATTATATACATGAAATGTTTTCTGCTGTGATTAGGCTTAATTCTGTAAACACTGAGTCTCTTCAGTGTTAATCTGAAACACTGAGTCTCTTCAGTGTTAATCCAATTTATATGAATCGTAGCCATAAATTTTGCAATAATAACTTAATAATCTGGAAAGTATACTGGAACATATTCGCATTTTCGCAAGTGTTACATATTATGAAAAATCTGAGGTTTTTGTGCTTGTGCCATGTTATTGTTATCACTCGTGGAAGCGGAATGACATATCTACATTATACTTAAATTTTAACATTACCATGTTTGCTGAATTTCGTCAAATATCCTGCCTCGTCCCCAAGGCGCTAATTAAAAATTTCATGCGAGTCACTATATGAAAGATTTACATGAAGTAGTGCATCGCGATGAGCAAGCGCAAGGGGTTATGGGCTTGAGGCATCCAGAACGCTCATATCCCACTCCCCTTTGCGCGCCTAGAATGTGACGCACTACTTCATGTAAACCTTTCATATAGTGACTCGAATGAAATTTTTTTTATTAGCGCCTGGGGACGAGGCAGTCAAATATCGCTATCGAAATTAAAGTTTATTAATCTGAAACATACTGATCGAACAAGTAAATGCAGTGTCTCCCATTTTCGATGGTGCCAGACCAATTACCATCCCCCACTACGATCCGAGAGACTAACACAAAGTTCAGAATGGGAAACGTACTTAGACTTTGTCCATCAAATGACAACGCCCTATATGCATGGTCGACAAAAACTGACACAGTTTTTCTAACCGAAAGTTCTCCGACCATCTACCCGATCAAGGTGGTATCTGGTCGAATCCGTGAACAGATTACTGTTGCTAAACTGAGAAGTAGTCCGCATAACCTGATCAACGTTACATTAGAAAACCCATTACAAGCAGCGCCGCTACCTAATTTAGTAGATACTCAAGTCAGCAATAATTCCATGACAATGTCTAGCTCAGATATAGAAATCTTACCATCTCAAGGCCTGGTGTCTACCCTTCCCAAATTTTTTCTTTCCAATGTACGATCCATATCCAATAAAGTAGATGATTTTGATGTAGTCGTCCAAAGAAATGGCATAGATTTTGCGGGAATTACAGAGACATGGTTGAATCCTAGCATCCCGGATAGCTGTATAAATATCCATGATTTTAACCTGGTTAGAAAAGACCGCTCTGGTCAACGTGGGGGTGGAGTTTGTGCATTCGTAAAATCAAATATCCCATTCGTGCCTCTTCCTGACTTATGTTGTCCAGATCACGAGAGTCTGTGGTTAAAACTTCGACCCTATCGACTTCCACGAGAATATTCCTGCATAGTTGTTGGTCTTGTATACCATCCACCACAGGCCGATAATAACGAACTCATAACCTCGTTGGACAAAATATGACCACCTCATAACCTCGTTGGACAAAATTTTAGCATCTTACCCAACAGCAGGTGTGATTGTTATGGGTGATTTTAACCAGTTCGACTCCAAACGCCTTTGCAGAAACACGTCACTTAAACAAATTGTAAAGAAACCTACCCGTGGGAATGCAACTTTAGATTTAATATTTACTAATATGAAACGTTGTTACAATGACCCTGAAATACTCCCTGCTATTGGACAATCGGATCACATGTCAGTCCTGTTACACCCCGTTAGCAACAATCACCGCCCTAATACCATTACCAAAGTCTGGGTCAGAAAGCGGAAGCAATCAAATATGCAGGCATTTGGTCGATTTCTTTTGGATCTTAACTGGAATGTACTTTCGCAGCTACCCGATTGTCAAAAATGTGTGACCTGTTTTATGACATTATTCTCATGGGTTTGGATACAATTTTTCCCCAAAAATCTGTTAAACTTCACTGTAGAGACAAAGCGTGGATTACCCCTGAAATCAAACTCCTCATCTCCCAACGACAAAAGGCCTTTGCCTTGGGAAATACAATTGAATACAACAAATTGCGAAATAAAGTAATTCACGTCGTGAAACAGGCAAAGTCTAAATACTTCGAGTCTCAAGTGAATCATCTAAAAAATTCAAAGCCAAGGAAATGGTGAAATGCTATTAAAAACCTAGCTGGCTTTTCTTTAAAGCCTGCCTTCCATTCTGCAGAGGTGAATGGAACTATCTTGCAGGGACGAGACTTAGCACTCGCTGTTAATAACGGGTTTTTAGCCGCCATTAAATCGTTACCGCCGCTTTCAATTACTGATAAATTATCTGTGGAAGAACCTACCGTTTTGTACCCTATCTCCGTTGTTGATGTCGAATCGCGTTTAAAAGCAGTTAAATCGAATAAAGCTCCTGGTCCAGACTCTCTGCCAAATTTGATTCTCAATAACTTTTCAATGGAGATTTCAGAACCTGTGACAATGATTTTTAATGCCTCCATTAAACAAGCACAAGTTCCAATGCAGTGGAAAGAAGCAAATGTCGTTCCCGTCCCTAAGACATCCTCGGTCACGGATATATCTTCAGACCTGCGACCTATATCTCTGACCGCCACGCTCTCAAAGGTTCTTGAATCATTTCCATTTCAATGGATTATGGATACCATTAAATCTCAGTTGGACCCAAAGCAATTCGGATCGTTAAAAGGCTCTTCTACGATAGACGCATTAATTAGCATGTTCCACTGTTGGTATTCTAACACATACGGCAATGGCGAGACTGTTCGTGTTTTTCTGCTTGACTTTAGTAAAGCATTCGACAGAATCAACTACAAAATCCTGATAAAAAATATGCAATTACTAAATATTGATAAATCCTTAATAAACTGGGTTATTGATTTCCTGATGCAAAGAAGACAGAGGGTGAAATTGGGTTCTTCGTTCTCTGATTGGTCCTTGGTAAATGGAGGCGTCCCGCAAGGTACAATCCTTGGCCCATTACTCTTCCTCATCATGGTCAACGATTTGGCTATTAATCACAAAGATAGATGGAAATATGTTGATGACACTAGTCTCTCCGAAACAATCGGTAAAGGTTGTCAAAGTAACCTGCAATCCGTTATTAATAATATCGATCAATGGTGCACGGAAAATGATATGATGCTTAATCGTTCTAAATGCAAAGAGCTAATTATCTCGTTCGCTAAGGACGTCCCTAATCTTCGACCATTGTTTATTAAAGATCACTGTATGTCCCCAGTTTTATCAGCAAATGTTCTTGGTCTGTACTTTTCTTCTGATCTTAGTTGGAACTTACATGTTGAACACATAGTATACAAGGCATCAAAGAGACTTTTTTTTCTCCGAGTGCTTAAACGCAGCGGTCTTGGAGGGAGTTCTCTAATTCAAGTCTATACCACATGTATACGACCTGTGCTTGAATATGCATGCCAGGTTTGGAACTTAAACTCCCCTGACTATTTAAAGGAAGAAATCGAAAGAATTCAGAAGCGAGCCCAACGAATAATATGTCCTGACCTGTCATACCGCAAAGCCTTGGAAGTTCATGAATTATCGTTGCTCTCTCAAAGACGAAATAATTTATGTAAATCCTATTTTAAGAAACTTCTCAACCCGGAAAATAAATTGAATGAACTTATCCCTAATAAACGCGAGGACTTACGTACTTACAATCTACGTAACGATCAGCATATTAACTTAATTAATTGTAAGACTACAAGATTTAGTAAAAGTTTTATTCCTTCTAGTATCGTATCATATAATGATTCATTTTAATTGTAATATAAATTTTAGTTTTAATATACCGTATATTACTATATGTATTAGTTTTACCATGTATTTTAAATGTCAACTCTGTACAATTCAGCTCTTAGCTGCCATTCAGATTTTGTAATAAATTCAATTCAATTCAATTCAATTCAATTCAATTAAATGTTCAATTTCTCCCACAAAGAAGCTTATTTTCCTATTTTATGCACAGCATGCGATAGATACGTTGCATTGCTCATGTTACTGCTAATTTAAAGTAAAAAATACCTTAAAAATAGCCAGCCAGGGGTTCAAATAATCTACTTTTGAATGTGAGGCCCATTCTAAGGCCGAATCTGGGGCCCAATCCGCGGCTACCTTCACAGTGCTAAAACGATTGTTATCTCTAAGGATTCTAAGCGAAGGCATGGCTGTAAATCTACTTACGGAGTTTTCAACATGCAACCAGGGCGCCATAAACCTACGCGCGCTTAATATGGTCTAGGGTAGACCTTGACCCGAACACAAAAACGGAAGCCGTCTCAAATTTCAACGTGACATATGTCTCCCTTGGATGCCTCAAAATTTCTCCCATTGATACATGAATTAGTCGTCTATTTCCTTTACATATAATATAGTTCGAACATGACGCCCCTATACACTTTGTTCTACCCAACCGAATTGGTGTTATTACAGTAAAAAACTGTTGCTTGTAGAAATAAAAGCCTACAAATACAATGAACACTTTTCTGTCAACGCCGCGCGATAAGTTCAGCAAAATTCAATTTTTATTACCTCCAACATGTCTGTCAAATGTGATATTTTGCCGAATACTTTGAATTACGTTTCCCAATGAAAACCGTATTGTGAGATATCATATATTCATATTATATATAATATAATGCGGTTCTCATGTGGGAATGGTAATTCAAAGTATTTGGCAAAATATAGGCTACTTAAACACATTTGACAGACATGTTCGAGGTAATAAATAAAAATATAATTTATATTTTTATTTATTACCTCGAACATGTCTGTCAAATGCGTTTAAATATATTTTGCCAAATACTTTGAATTACCTTTCCCACATGAGAACCGCATTGTGAGATATCATATATTCATATTATATTTTTATTTATTACCTCCAACATATCTGTCAAATGCGTTTAAATATATGGCGTTCCAAACAATGGCGGTCGTGCTGAGAACTGCTCTTGGTGTTTTAATACTTATCGCTAGTTTGCGTGTTAAAAAGTGTGCTTTCTTGAGCCCTGATAGTGTGGGGTTATCTATAACTGGTAATGAAGTATCTTTCGACATCGAAACTCACATTCTATCGAGTTTATAGCAAGCAAAAGGTGGGAAATTCAACTTTCTTGTGTGCTCATCGAACCGAAGTCTGATAAATCTGCTGATCTTAATGTGCGGGGATATACATTCCTGCCCTGGCCCATCGCCAATGGCTCAATGTTTATCGTGTCCAGCGTGCTTAAGAAAGATAAGAAACAACCAGTCAAGAATGAAATGTATATCGTGTGAAATGTTTTTTCACCTGAAATGTTTTGGAGAAGAAGCCGATCGAGTACGTACTTGCAAACTCTGTCAAAGGCCGGTTCTTGATTCCACAGACCCTAGGATTGATAACTGCAGTATACTGAAC